GTATTTTGTACAAAATGTGTTCGTAAATCCTACTAATAGATATTTATTTTGTTCGTAAATCTCGTCCAAATTTCGTAATTTACGACATTTGCGAGCGACAGCGAGAGCACAGTATTACTATAAACAAAACTATATATCTCAAATTTGATAACTAACGGGGACTGTGCCATGCATGGCTTGTGGCTTGTTAAATATGAATTAGTTTGACCAGAGACATGGCAGTTATTTATGTACACATATGAGCTTCGAGTATAGCAAATATAGTAACTTTGATGATATCATTGTTAATTAACACTATGTTTATACTTGATAGATGTAATACATGCACCTGTAGGGCGTATGATGGACACTACCACACTACATGTGCTGAAAATGGAGACGCAGTCAGACGAAGTACCACTTATGAGTAGTACAAGCAGTAATTCCTCATCAGAACATTCATCATTACCTGTTAAGTTAAAGAAGGGTGGCTGTAGGCGAGGTGAGTTGAAAGTTTGCATAAATATGAGATCATTTGTATAAATAGTTAGTTTTGTTTTGTCTATTAATTTTGGCAGTTCTTCTATCTGACTGGATATTACGAATAAAGTTTGTTGATAATTTTTCATAAAATTTCAGGGAGAAAACCTAAAGCAAGATCAGAATCACCTATTGACACTCCATCTGTGAGAATAGGAAGGAAAAACAAAGAAAGTGAGTATTGTATGTGAAGATTTGTATTTGTAGTAGCCCCTTGCATCATGTCTGAGAGTTATTCAGACTGTAGCTTGTGGAGCCCAGAACATTCATGTTATAGATCTTATTTTGTTCCACTTAAAAAGTGCAAAGAATTTTCTGTGTTTAGTGTACATAAGTTATGCAGTAAATTTGTTTTATAAGTTATTAATATGAAGTCACTGGTACCACATTGTCTAACACTGAAATCGGGATATATACTATCCATTCTGACCATACTGCAAATAGAATGTCAGTTTAGTCGTCTTTACTCTTTGTCTCGTAATATTTCAACTATGATGTCTTTGAAGCAGGCTATTTTATTTAGCACGTTATTTTGACTAATTCTTAATTTCGCAAATTCAAGATGTTGCTAATTTAAAATAAAGTATATTCTCTCAATGAGATTGTTGGCATTTTAGCTAGATTCTTTTAATTGATGCATTGAGTGAAATTTGCTAAAATAGCATGTAGCTATTTCAATGTGTTTTATAATATATACAGAACATATACATATATATAGTTGATTATTGCAGTCACCCTGAAAAATGATACAAAGAGCTTATCGGCTGATATAGTCTGATATATTATCTCTGCTGTATAGTTAGGCAGTTGGAAATAGCATTTTTTACCATAAAATACAAAAATGTTCACTAACAATAAGAGAATTAAACTTATCATCTCAAAATGAACAAATCTGTCAGAGGTACACCCAAAATACATGTATATGTACGTTTTCAAGAAGTCGAAAATGTAATGTTGGCAATGACTGACAATCAAAAATATGAAAAGCTCCTCTCAAAAAATCAATTGGTTCTGCAACAAACCTTGAAGTATTGGAGTGCTGAAATCAACAGTGCTCTTGCTACTCATTTGCCAAAGGCTAAATTCTTTAATATATGGTGAAACAATAAGTTTGGCTATATGTTTTCAATATTACTTTATTTTAGAAATTCAATTTCAAGGTCATGTTTGATAAGATTTCGCATGAACAGTACAAAATTCAAAACCTGTATGATGTTTGCAAAGATTAGTCAGAGGTTTCTGCAGATCAAACAAAGTGAGAAAGCAACTTTTACAGCAAGTCTCGGAAGTATTGGGCCAGCCAATTTGCAAACTCGCTAGCGAATTGGCTAACTGCTTGGGTTTTGACTAAACAGTTGGCTTTCGAATCTCGCTGGTGCCGACTCGTGGCCGCGTCCACTCTGGGTGAGTCTAAGTTGCATTAGGAGACATAGAATGCTTTTATGTAGCATGGTAGGTGCATGTCTAGATTCCCTGAATGATTTACTTTGTTACGAGGCATGATAATGTAAAAGTAGTTTCCCTGGTAAGCCTGAGAATGGCCACAGTCAGCTTGAGTAAAGCGATAATATGATAAATGCGATTAATCCACTGATATTCACTATATGGGGGTAGCCATCTTGAACACTGCTGAAACTAAATAAAGAGACTAGTTGATAAACAGTTTCCTACAAATCAGGAAGAAAATGACAAACTTTCACATCTAAATGATCCATCGGGGCAACATTAGCCAACCGCTAAAAAAATCGACCTCATTACACATAGAACACTTATGTTTATTTGAAAGCGAAATGGTCATCCAACTGTGGCTGATTAGCTCCTAAGGTATGACGACCATCCCCTGCTGTTATATAGATGCACCCAGAGTGGACGTGACCACAAGACTGCGCCAGCGAGATTCGAAATCCAACTGTTTAGTCAAAACCCAAGCAGTTAGCTAATTTGCTAGCGAGTTTGCAAATTGGCTGCCCCAATACTTCAGAGACTTGCTGTAGGAATTTCATTCACTTGATATACTCCATGCATAAGAGTCTCTGGGCACATAAAACTGACATTTAAACCTCCACTTTTTGTGGTAATAAAACGTTGCATGTTACCCATGATTACGATAAAGTCTGAAGAAAATTGTACGTAACAAGACGTGACCCAAATGTTTTATTTTCTTGCAGGTCATACAACATATTTATGGGAATTTTTATTAGAGCTTCTTCAAAACAAAGAAACTTGTCCAAGGTATATAAAATGGACACAGAGAGAAAAGGGAATTTTTAAACTCGTCGATTCAAAAGCTGTATCCAGGCTGTGGGGAAAACATAAAAATAAACCAGATATGAACTATGAGACGATGGGTCGGGCATTGAGGTGAGCTATTAATTACTTTGTTGATTCAATCATTGCACCCATTCTTGTCTCCGGGGATATTTTTGTGAACTGCAGCATTGTTGCTGTGACAATAATGATAAAGTTGGAAAAGTTGTTTTGGAAAAGCAGTAGATAGTTATTATAGCAATGAATACAATTGAGGTGATAATATGTTGCCATGCCGGTTTGTCTCCCTGCTATATTTTTCTGGAGAGAACAATGTATGCACACGCTCAGGCATACAATTAACTTTCTACATAGCAGTGTAAAATGCCAATTTTGACCATTAAGGGTTTCTTCAAAAAATTATCCAATGGCACCTAATTTTTTTTATATATAAAACTAACTACCGTATAATATCTCATATAAGCGCCACCCTAGATTAGGCGCCAGTACAATAGAAATGGTGATAATTTTCACACCAATTAGGCGCCAGTCAAAGTTGAATGTTTGTGTAAAACCGTGAATTCCCCATCTGGCCGACGTCCGCCTAAAACTTGAGCTAATCTTTTTTTTCCCACAACACATGCACAAAACTAACAATACACCATACAATCTCTTGAATAGGCGTCAGAGAAGAGTAAAATGCCTTACTTTGGTTCTAAAATAGGCGTTATGAAATGTTGAAAAATTACGGTCAATCAAAAAAAAACTGTTCACATGATAAAAAAAATACTCAGTATATTTAATGTAATATGCATTTATTTTTTTAATTTTCTTGGTAACGAAAAGTATATTCTAAAAGAAGTTTTTAAATAAAAACAAACACAAATGCACTGCTTAGTAGCAAATGATCACTGTACGGTAGCGCAATCCGGCCATGCTGCGGTTCACAAGTGAATAACTTACTTGTTTTCAAAGTGTTGAAATTGGTAATTATTATTCAGTGGTGATTATAGTAACGCACGAAAAATAAATCCGTTGAAATTTTATGAAATGCAAGTAAAATTCAACTTAGTTTCACCGTAAGCAAATGATTTCAGTCACATGTAAACGGCCGATACGAAACGATATCTGCCATGTCTTTGAATGCGCACGAGACTTGTTTATTAACCGGATAGGTCAAGTCGCTAATTAACCAATCAAAATGCTGGATGGTGCCCACGTGTCTGAATTACCCTAGCTCATTTAATATGTTAATGACAGTTCAGCGACCTCATGGTAACCGCAACGCGGAAGAGATTTACCGATAATGTAGTGCGATCTTTTGGCTTCGATTTCCATGGGAAAACTGCATGATTTTTTTTTTAAATCAAGAAATTATTTGTTTTGGAAAGATAAACTGAGCATTTGAAGAATAAATTAACATTGTTTACAGTGATAACTGCTCATTGTCGAAACGAAGCTT